TCTTGAAAACCCCATTCAGGTGTTAAACAGTATCAACAGTAATTGATTATGATGTAACAGCTCTTATGGCCAGGCACATATGTACGTGTGTGCTATGTATGCACTATATGTACGTATATGTCCTAACTCGTTTAATCCTCCCAGAAGCAGCCTGATAAGGTTTATTTCCACCACCATTGCACCAGTGTGGAAACTCAGCACAGACAGCTGAGTAATGACCAAGATCACATAGCTGGCAAGTGAAGAACTCAGGGATCTCCTGTGCCTTTTTTTCTAACAACTTTTTGAGATATAATTCACATACTGTATGATTCACCCATTTAAAGTATACACCTCACTGTTGTTCAGGATTTCACAGGGTCGTACAACCATCGACAAAGCAATTTTAGAACATTTCCAGCACCCCCAAAAAAGGAACCTTCTTCCCTTTAGCGGTCACGCCTTTGCCCCCTCATTCCCCTCCACCCCCCACCCTCTGACAACCACTGATCTACTTCCTGTCTCTATGGATTGGCCTACCCTGCAGATCTAGTATAAGTGGAGTCTTACAATAAGTGTTCTTTCACGCCTGGCTTCTTTCACTCAGCATAATGTTTTCAAGTTTTATCTGTATTGTAGCGTGTGTCAGTTCCTCATCTCTTTTCATGTTGGAGAACATTCCATTGTGTGGCTGTACCACGTTTTATCTGTCTGTTCATTAGTAGATAGACATTTGAATTGCTCCCACCTTTCAGTGTTTATGAATAGCGCTATTAGAACATTTGGTGTGTAACCTTTTGTTTTGTAACCTTTTGTGAGCATATGTTTTCAGTTCCCTGGGGTGGAATTGCTGGGTCACACAGTAACTCCAACATTTAACCTTTAGGGGACTGTTTTCCAAAGCAGCTGCGCCACTTCACCTTCCCACTAGTGGTACATGAGGGCTCCAGATGCTCCACATCTTCCCCTTGTTATTATCTGTCTTTGTATTCTAACCATCCTAGTGGGCGTGAAGCGGCATCTCAGTGTGTTTTCAATTTGCTGATGACTGACAACTAATGATGTTCCACATCTTTTCATGTGCACATTGGTCCTTTGTAGATCATCTTTGGAGAAATGTCTACTCAGATCCTTTGTGTTTGAATTGGGGCTTCCTTGACTTCTGCCGAGGGAAGCAGCCCTCTCTTCTCAGGGAACTCTGCCCCACTGGGTGAAGGCTCCTGACTAGATGGGCATTTGGCAGGGTTACTGATGGCAACAGGGAATGAAATCATGCAGCATCCAGGGAGATGCAGGGGTGAGTGGACAGGCAGGCTGAGCAACCAGACCTAAACTGATAGGCAACAGGGAGCCACCAAGAGTCTGGGCCAGTGGGTCAGAAGAACGGAGCCTCTCATCACCATTCCCGACCCACTACAAACCTTGGACAAGTCAAGGCACTTATCTTCTCTAGGCCCCAGATTTCATCCCCAAAACGTGTTTGCTAATGCCTGGCCTATGTACCTTGTAAAGCTGCTGGGGGATTAAAAGCCCTGGGTGGAGAACCTACTCAAGTATCAAGTCTCTATACAAAGCAGAGAATGTACCAGTCCATACTTCCATTTCTAGAATCCCATAGATTTTGTTTGTTGCCTATAAGATGCCCAGCAGTGGGCAAAGGAGGTAAGATGTGATAACAGAGAATTTCTAGGTGGCAGTGTGGAAGACCAGGAGAAGCAAGGAGAAGGTGTTGGTAGTGATGGGATCTGCAACAGGGCCTCACCTGGCTGTGGGAGGGGCTGATGCCCAGTCCTGAGGTCCCATGAAACAGGTAGACAGCTCCCTGGTTCTCCTGTTCTCCCGGGGCCCCGATGGCCACATCTGCCAGCTTGTCCCCATTCACGTCCCCCAGCACAGTCAGGGCTGTCCCGAGCGACCCCCAGGGGTGGCCCTGCTCCCCACGGAGAATGCCCTCACACTGCCATCTAGCTCTCTGCAGAACAAAACCAATGCAACCCCTCAACCTGGGAAACTCCTTCACCCCCACACCCAGCCCCCACCCAGCCCAGGTCTGGTCATCAGCCACTCACCCCCCCGAGGCAAGGAGCACACAGACACCTGGCCCCCCCGGGTCGGCTCATAGTAATGGGGAGCCCCAATGAGGACCAGGTCAGAGCTGCCATCTCTGTCCATGTCCACGGAGCACAGGGAGGCCCCAAAGTAAGAGCCAATCTGGAAGGTAGAGACTGAAGTCACCCTGTCTGCCCTCACCAGAGAGGCATCCCTCTGGCCAAGTTCCGCCTCTACCCAGGCACAAGCCCCAAACCCCTTCATCTCCTCCCTCTCCAGCCCTGGAGACCCTGCCACCCTCACGTTCCTCCACACCCAACCTGGGTCCCTGTGACTTCAGCCATCGGCCTCCATTTCCCGGACATTCGGGTAAAGATGACAGCCTTCCCGGTGTGCTGATGGCGGGGGGCCCCCAGGACCAAGCTCTGCACCCCCTTCCAAAGGGCCAGCTCAATGGAGTAACCTGAGGGGGCCAGACCTCAGCACAAAGGCTTGCATGCTCCTGCCCCCCAAGCTGCCCCTCCCAGGCAGCTCATGTCCCACCTGTCCTCACAACCAAAGCCTTTTCTCACCCAGGTAAGAGTCCCTCATGTCCACATTCTCCTGAGACATGTTGATGAATGTGGGGGCTCACATTTGGGGGTACACAAAGGCACCTCCAGACCAGCTGAAGCTCCCCACAGCCCCCAGAACTGGTCCATCCTGTGGAGAAAGGATTCTGGGGCTGAGCAGGGGAAGCAAGGAGAGATAGCAATTCCAAAGCAATCCCTGCCACCAACTGTACTCACTCATATGACATCCACCTGCACCTTCCATCCCCCCTGCTTCCCTCATCAGTGGCCTTGAAAGTACCACACTCACAGGTGTAAACACAGCACTGAAGCCCTCCTGGGACATCTCCAATTCGAAGGTACTACTGCTTATTGTCTGTGTTCCTAGGGGAAGCCATGACACTTGGGTTACATGGGGAAAGACAGGGTTTGCCAGGTCTTACACACCTTAGCTTTAAGAGGATCTAACGTTATAGACTCATACCCAAAGGGAAGGGTCAGTGCCCATGACCTGGAGGTCCAAGATTCAAGAAGAAAAGGCACTTATCGAAAGAGGATTTCTGAAGTGAGTAGTTCCATCTCTGACTTACCCTCAATGGCAAAGATCTTCTCTTTTAGTTTGTTTTGAATGTCTCTCAAAGCATCAAAGTTCTCCACTTTAAATATATATTCACTGGAGGGCCTTGATGCAATGTCATTTAATTCTCTCCAGGAATGTTTCTTTTGAAACGCGGATCCAACCTGTCCCCAACAAAACCCATTCAATGAAAATAATTACAAATCTAAAGTTCCTACCACTTTGTGAGTACTGATGTCCTCCAATAACACTGCAAGGTCAATATTATTAGACCCAGTGCACAGGAGAGAAAAATGAGCTCAGAAAACAGCAAGAAGTTTAGGGAAAGGAATCAGGGTCCCCAGGCTAACACAGTTTTCATCTTGAATGTAGTAGAAGCTAAAAGAGCAGGATGGGCTGGGGGTTTCTGTCGTTGAAAAGGAAGTTGCTTTAAGAGGAAGCTGTGGGAGGGCATTGCCACATCCTACCCCAACTGCATAGCGAATGATGCCTGCTGCCTCAGCCATAGGGATGACATCCTGATAACCCAGGGGGTCTCCTTCTTTCTGCCCATCAGTGATGACAATGAGGATCTTGGAGGCATCCTTTCGGGCCCCACTTTGGGCACTGAATAGTTCATTTCTGTCAGGGAAGAAGAGGGTCCAGTGGCCATTGAACAGAGGTGCTGCCAGCCCCTGATGCCTTTGTGAGCATGAAGAGCTGGAAAGCCCTCATCCTGCTAAGAGGCTCCCAGCTTGGTGAGGAGACCACAGGTGGAAACTCAGTCCCATATGTCCCTTTTTCATGGAGACAGATAAAACTCAGAGGAAAAGCAAACACCATAGGGAAGGACCTGGAAGAAGTCAGCACTCACATGACCCTCTTGATGGCTGTGGCTGTGTGCGTGAACCCTGACAGCTGACTCACAGGCTTCAGCAGGCTTAGTGGGTCTGAGGTGTACGTGAAGTTTTTGAAAGTGAAGTGAATCCGGAACTTGTTGGAGAACTGCATCAGGGAGAACTAGGAGAAGCAGGTGGGGCTGGCACCAAGGTCACTCCACTAGAACCCCAAGTGTACCTCCTGCAAGCCTTCCCAGAGGGTCCTGCACACTCTCCTTCCCTGCTTCGAGGGCACACCTGGGTGTTGGGTCTCTGGAACTGTCTCATCACAGCCTCCACGAAGCTCAGCATCTTGACAAAATTTGTAGAAGAAATGCTGCCGGAGCCATCAATCAGAAAGACGATGTCCTGCTCCTGCCTTGGGCACTCTGCAGAAGGAGGTAGCACCAGTCCTCTGAGGGACACTCCCAGAGCCCAGGATCTCAGCCTCCTGGTGACAAGAACTCACCCTTTCCTAACCCCTGCCCAAAGCAGGGCTCCTAAGTTTCCTAAAGTCTCTGAAGAGGCTACATCTGTGATTCACCTGTTGACACCTGCACAGCCAGCCTGGTTGATAAAAAAAACAGTGAAAGCTCCTCCAATCCAGATGGTAAGAAGCTACTTCCCCACTTCTACCTCAGTGGTCTGTACCTCTCCCCATGGGCCCCCACTCCTCTTTCCACAACATCTCCACTCTGCTTCAGCCCTTGGCTGGAGTCTCTCCTCATTGGTTAGTGCTTAACTGAACTTTTGTTCATTTTTTTAAATTCAGTCTCCATAGGACTGTCAAAAAATTGCTAATGTTGCCCTGGCTAGTGTTGTTCAGTGGATTGAATCCTGGCTTACAAACCAAAAGGTCACCGGTTCAAATCCCTATCAGGGCTCATGCCTGGGTTGCTGGTCAAGTCCCCAGTTGGGGGCATGTTAAAATGACATTTCTTTCCCTCTCTTTCTCACTCCCCTCTCTCTAAAAATAAATATTAAAAAAGCCTTAAAATTGTAATTGTCCATGCTAACTATATGTCAAGTTGTCATGGTGAGGTATTGGGAAAAGTTTTCAATGAGCAATAATTGAGCCTTGGATAAACTTCATGGGCTATGGTACTGCCCCTGTTCAAAACTTTGTTAAGTAATTTTAACATTACTCCTCACAATAGCCACACACTGGTCCCATTTTGTTCTCAGCTTAAATATAGGATCCCACTCCCCTCCTAGGTGAATGCAGAATATGTCTTCAGAAGAGAAGCTTTCCCAGCTCTCATCTCCCTTTCTGCCCCAGAGGCCTCCCAGCAGAGAGAGTGATGTTCTCAAGAAAGCCCAGGTGCATGTGGGTAAAGTTTACAACCTTGAAGGTGTTAAAAGCGGCACTTCATTCAGTGGCCAGATGTCATTTCCCCAAGGGCCTGAGTGAATATGAAACCAGGGAGGGGCCTCAGTCTGCCGTGGGCTGGGTCTGAAGAACTCACTGTTCCACTACCTCATCTCACATTCCCGTGAGCACTGGGGAAGCCAGGCCCTTGACTCAACCTGCATGTGTGTGTATGTGTGAAACATACACATTCACACTGCCTACCCTCATCACCCTTTCCCAGGATGCTGTACACACCAATTTTCATCCAACATACAGGGTGAAAATACTGGGTGAAAATAAATTCCCTTCTCTCTAAAAATAATAGCAGTTGGCATTAACTGAGCCCTCACCACATGCCAGGCATTGTGCTAACCCCTGGCCGTGGAACATCTAATGTTACTCTCAGTGTTGGATGTATTATCATATCCATCTGAGATGTTAAGGAACTGAGGCTCAGGGAGGGTAAGGTCAGAGGAAATGTCCTACAGTGAGACAGTAAAGCAGGCTATGACTCCCCAGCCTGTGTTTGAACCACTCCATAATCCAGTAAAAATTTTTTCCTCTTTCTTATCTGCTCTGGTAAGAGTGTCTCTGGCCCCACTGTATTCCCAGCCAGATGTGTGTGGGCTCCTCTAAAGACCTAGTAGCCCAAACACTCACCCTGCAGGGCAGCTGGGAGCCTCTGAGCCTTCCAGGAAGGGGAGGCCAACAGAAAGCAGAACCCGGTCAAGTACATGTTCTCCTTGCATGCATGGTGCACAGTGGGGCCACAGGCCTGGGGACAAAGGGCATTAGTGGGAGAGGATACCCCTGCCTCTGTCCCACCCACCCCATCCCAGCACCTCCACCTCCCACAGGAGCCCCAGCTCCAGCAGTCCCAGGTCCTCACTTCTTCCCCTGGGATGCTCTTGTGGCCCAGGGCAACTCACCAGCAGCTGAGAGGGGTTGGTAGCAGCTGTCAGGGATAGGCCCAGGGACATGTTCACAGCTTCTGGGGGCACTAAAGGGACATATATGTGCATGGTTACCCTTAGGACAGAGGAGGCTGTGTATATCTGGGCAGAGTTCAGCTCATCCTTAGGAGACAAGGAGGTCTGGCACACGAAGGGGGCTTCCAGGTCTTGATGGATTTACTGGTAGAACAAAGGTACAATGGGTGGGTAGGACTGCAGGGGGTCAGGAAGCCTGTCTAAGGGTAAGGATCTACAGACAGAGCTGAAGCTAGAAAATTAGTCCCTTGTACCTGCCCACAGACTCCATAGAGTATGGGAGTCTGGACCTTGGTCTCAGGGAGGAACAGTGACTCACCCTGCAGGTCAATGGGCTGACAGGTGGCTGTGCTATAGGCACACTGGTAGAGGCCTCCTGTTTGGTTGATAGCCTTTATTTCCTGGGGGGCTCCAACTACCACCCTGGGGAGAGACAAAGAACACTACAGTTAAGAGTGCAGACACTACAAAGACAAATACCATATAATTTCACTTATATATGGAATCTAATGAACAAAACAAACAAACAAAACAGAAACAGACTCATAGATACAATGAACAGAGGATTGCCAGATGAGAGGGGGATGAAGGAGATGGCTGAAAAAGGTGAAGGGATTTAGAAGTACAAATTGGCAGTTATAGAATAATCATAGGGATATAAAGTACAGCATAGGGAATATAGTCAATAATATTGTAAGGTGCCAGGTGGGTACTAGAATTATCAAGGGGATCACTTCGTAAATTATATAATTGTCTAAACACTATGCTGTGGACACTACATCCAGACTGCCATTCCAGCAAATTTGCTTCATCTCTCTGCCTCAGTTTCCTCATCTGTCAAGTGGAGATTAATAACAACTTAAGTTCTGCATGGGAGGGATTTTTGTTTTATTCTCTGGAATACGCCTGGCTATATTGAGACATACAGTAAGTACTCAATAATTGTTGCATTGAGCACTAAATCAATATCCACATAAAATATGACACAGTGTGTGGCACCTAGTAAATGCTCAATAAATGTTAGCTGTGATAGTTGAGATGGTAAGACAGTTTTTGCTTTCAGTTCAACTCTTCATAACCTTGGGGGAATTGCCCTATCAGACAGAAAGAAAATCTTGTGAATAACAGGAGAAGAACAGAACCCTTTGTAGGGAGAGAGTTGATAAGAGCCAAAGGTCAGTCACCACTTGGTCCTCACCAGGAGTTGGCATACTGGACCACACTGTGTCCAAACCCAGCACTGTCCATGAGGAAGGTTGTTGGCTTGTCTGTGTCCAAGTTGAAGCAGAGAGAGGAAGCCAAGGCTGGAGAAGAGGGCGAGGAGAGAAGCTTTGGAAAAGTGTTTTCCTTCTGTTCTATCTCCCTGGGCTCAACCCCTAGTCTCCCCTGCAGGCCCAGTGTCACAATGTTCCCAGGTCTTCTGGACTCCCAGGCTTGGACCTTCTTCAGCTTTGTTTCTCTCTTTCAGATGGTCCAGAAACAGTTCTCCACCCAATGGCCTATGGGCAAGTTTCAATTCTCCATTTCTGCCAAGCAACACCCCAGCTCTAAAGCCCCTACCCCACCCTTATCCTGGGGCTCCTAAGAGGGAGAATCCATGAAAATTTGGGGCCAAGGAAGCCCAGTGGACAGAGCACAAAGTTAACTTGCTTTGCCTACTTGGGAAATCTCTGGATTGTCCAGGAAACTGGCCTCTCTCCCAGAATCTCGTAAACTCCCTTCAAATTCATTCCTCAACCTCCTCTCTCTTCACAAACTCCAGATCTCAAACTCTAGATTCCTTTCCTAATGTCAGAGTCCAAAACATGTGCATTCTCAGCTCTTTCCCCACCTGGATTCTAATCCCTTCATTCCCCTTCATCGGGGCCCCTGGCTTACCCATCAACAGAAGAAGGGATGTCCTGGTCCTGGTCATGACTGGAAGGTCAGACATGGCCTTCCAAAGCCCCTGAGCTTTGGGCGAAGGCTAGATGTTCCAAGATGCCAAGGGAACAAGTAAGCAGAGACGTGGTCAAGAGGCTGTTGTTAGACAGGGAAGTTGTCAGAATGACTCAGAAGTAGAGGGTGGAGAATATGACTAAAATATGCAGAGAAAGGGGCTGAGGCAGCCACACCCCCATCCAGGAGTCTTTCTGACCAGAGATGACTTGACTTGCCCCTTTTGCCTCACCAACCTAGACTTGTGTGGATGCCAGTCCTTGTCCTGCCCCACCTCTCCCAATTTTCCTTGTTGTACTGCCTGAAGGTTCCCTTGACCTCAAGAGAGGGAAGGGGAGAAGTTAGGGTGGACTAAGGGTCCTAATGGAGACTCTGATGGGAACCCTCCACTTCTAGCCTGGAAACCTCTAGGCCAAGGGGTCTTCAAGCATCTGGGCCCTTGGAGGAGCACAGGATGGGTATTCACTCATGTATTCATCATTTATTCAACAAGACTAATGTCAGGCCAATTTTGCACACCCTCTCTCTGCAGAGGAAACACAAACCACAAGGCCCAGCTGTGGGGTCAGTGGAGAAGGCAAATGTGTAAACAGCATGACTTTGCTATGAGTAGAAACACATTGGCCACAGAGAACATTACCCAGGCTGAGAGGGGTGGTTTAGGCAAGGCATCCTTGAGGAGGTCACACTTGAGCTAAATCTTGAAGGTACCTGACTACAGGGATCCCCTACAGGGGAGCATATTTCAGAAGGAATGGGCAAATGTGGAAGAGGCATGAGACAGGAGGAACTTTGGGAAAATCTGAGATGGAAACCAGAGAGTGGGAGGTGGGAAGTAGCAAGAAATGAGGTCAGTGTCATGGGGGAGGAAAAGAAAGGGAAGCTGGCCCTAGGCCCAGAAACCCTTTTTAAGGAATGAGATTTTATTTAGAGGACAGAGGGAAGCGTTGTCCTTCAGATTTATACTTTAGGAAGCTAGAAAGAGGGGCTGATGAGGAGAGAGATGATGGGGACCTGTGGAGTGAGCTAGTGGCCATGGTGATGGACCAGAAGGTGACTGGTCACTGAGGGGAGGACAGTAGTGCCAGTCCCTGAGCTACAGAGCACCAGAGAAGGGGAGGGGAGGTGGGTTAGACCAACTTTGGTTTTGAGAAAACTAAAATGTAGTGTTTAAGAGCATAGATTCTTTCAACCTCTTTATGCCTCAGTTTGATTATCTGTAAAACCAGGGTGATAATAAAAGTGTGCACCTTCTATTATTGCTGGGAAGGTTGAGTCAGTGTGTGAAATATTTAGAAGAGTGTATAAGAGCTTTAATTCCTGGCTGTTATCATTGCAGTGTTGTGATGAGTTTTGCATTAGGTAAGAGGAGCCTGAAGGGCTCTGGGAGGCAACTGGGTATGTGGAGCTGGATCTCAGGAGAAAAGTCTGGGTTGCAGATGAGTTTTGGAACCATCAGCAAAAGTGCTGGGTGAGATCCTGGTGGGAGTGTGAAGAAGGAGGAGAAAGAACTGTCTCAGTGAGTCCCAGGGAAATGCCAATGTTGGTAGCAGAGCAGTCATCTATGGAAATTAAGAAAGGAGTCTGTGAACAGAGAGAAGCCCAGTAGCCAGAAGGGCATCTTGGAAGGGCATCCTAAAGAGAGAAGTGGGAGGAGTGTCACAGGTCACCAGACATCAAGTGAAGTCATAAATAAGAAAGTCCCTAGATCTGGCAACAGAGGCTGTTGGTAGCCCTAGCTGTGCCAGCATGGTGGGAGTTGGAGGCTTAAGGTCCTGGCATGGGGAGGTGGGCAACACTATCACCTAGAGACAAGCAACCCTGAAGACCCCAGACACCATGTG